GTGTTGGAATTCCTGAGGGGTTTCCCCTTGGGCTGTGCTCCCAGTGATGTCACTGGATGCAGTGACAGCCAACAGTCACATTTGATAACAGCTGTGTCACCCGAGACCTCCTCCGATGTGTTAATCTAACCCTAATCCATCGGGAAGGGATGGACACCTGGCTGGTGCCACCTGTGTGACACCAACCACTGGGAGAAGTGTCCCTGTGGGATGAGGAGGTGACAGCTGAGCCCCCTACAGCCAGGCCCCACACCTAGACTCATCCCAGCACCGAGGGCTTGGGGTCACCTTCCCTTTCTCTGACAGCACTGCTGGGAATCAGCAGCGATCCCATTCCAGGGATTCCTCAAAATCCGCATGCGCTTTGTCCCTCCTGTCTGCTGTGCCACCACTCAGCTTCATCCAGGCCCCAAACACCATCACTTAGAGCCAAACTGCCAGAATCCAGGCCCAAAAATACCAGAATATCCAGGCCCCAGAATACTGTCATCTGGACCCCAAATGCCAAAATCAAGGCCCCAGAATGCCATCCCCTTAGACACAAAATACCAAAATCCAGGCCCCAAACCCCAGGTCCCAAAGCACCAAAAACTCAGACCCAAAATGTCCAAAATCTAGACACAAGTCACCCAAAATCAAGAGCCCCAAAATACCAAAATCCAGGCCCCAAACTCACCCAAAATCCAGATCTGTAACACCAAAACCCAGGCCCCAAAACACCACAACTTCAGACCCAAAATGCCCAAAATCTAGACATAAACCACCCAAAATCCAGGTCCCAAAACCACCCAAAATCCAGATCCAAAATGCCCCAAATCCAGGTCCCAAAACTATCAAAATTCAGGCCCCAAACCCACCAAAATCCAGAGCCTGAATCCACAAAAATCCAGATCCAAAATACCCAAAATCCAAGGCCCAAAATGGCTAAAATCCACATCCAAAATGCCCAAAAGCTAGGGCCTAAACTGCCAAAATCCAGGACCAATTGCCCCAAAATCCAGACCCTAAGCCCACCAAAATCCAAACCCATTGAAATCCAGGGCCTAAACCCGACAAAACTGAGACCCAAAGCCAACAAAATCCAGATGCAAAATGCCCAAAATCTTGGTCCTAAAGTGCCAAAATCCAGTCTCAAAACCCACCAAAATCCAAACCCCAAATCCCCAAACCCAGACCCCAGATCCCCAAATCCAGACCCCAAATCCCCAAACCCAGACCCAAAACAGAACTATGGGCAGTTGCAATGGAAGCAGGTGAGTTCCAGTGCCCAATCCCCCCCCGGATCCCAGCAGGAGGAGGGAATTCCCAGTGCCCCCCTACCTTGCTGACGTTCAGGGAAGCTAAGGGGGGAGGCGTTTCCGTGTGGTCATTGATTATTTCCACTTCTGACACATACTGTAAGTTTACGAGCAGGATGTCTGCGTGGTTGGGCTTCCCACTGGATGAAGGGCATTCTGGAAGGGGGAAAATTAAGGAAAACGAATCCAGAGGGAGGTATTTATGGGCTTGACAGAGCCCAGGAGCAAACCGGGAGAAGGTTTGGTTGCCAGTGAGTTCCTCCACTCCTGTGTCCCTGCCCAGCCAAGCTTGGGGTCATCCATGATCCCAGGAAAGCCACACGTCTCTTTTTGGGGTTATTTAATGCTGATCCCAGTTTTCCTGACTCCAGATTGAGTTTTCCAGCCCTACCCAGCACAGCCCAGTCACTGGTTTGAACCAGCACCACCAAATCTGCGCTTTTTACACCAGAGTATTTCCTCTGACAAGAAGTGGCTCAGCCAGAGGAGCATTCCCTCACCTAAATGGAAAAGCATTCCCAGGAAAGGCCTCCTTGCCCTCACGCACGAGGCTGGTATCACTGTTGCAAATACCCCCACCCCCTTCCAGAACTGACAATTCACGGACTGCACAGATTTCTGCACTATCTGTTCTTGTGAGGATGGACAGAGCAGGGAGCACAGCATGGAGACCCTCTTCCATGCCAACACCATCTCCTCATGGAAGAGATCCTTGTGGAAGTCCCAGTTCCTCCCTCCCAGCCCCCTGTGAGCCCAAGGTGGAGCCCTCCCTAAAAAATGCCATTCAATAATGACAAGAAAGCAAGGGATTCCAGGGAATTCCTTCACAGAATTCCAGTCTCTTCCTTCAGGAGGATGAGCTGGAGCATCCCAGCTTTGGCATGAGGAAGAGCCAGGCTCAGGGAAAAGCCAGAAGGGGAGCACTCAGTCCCCTCTGGAGCGGATCAGCAGCACTGAGACACCTGTTGGAAATCCTCTTGGATTTTCCTGCTGCCCCCAGTGGCATCTGGGAGCTCCTCCAACTCCAACCACATCCCAGGCACCCAGGGAGGTTTTTCCCATCGTGTTTCCCACAGCTCCTGCCACAAATCCCTCTCCCTGCCCCTCGTTCCCTCTGGAACTCACCCTTGGGCTCCCAGAACTCCAACCCCAGACCCAGGGCTGAGAACCCCCTTTTCCCCCTCTCCACGGTCCCTCCACAGTTTTCCAACAGCCCTTGGCTTTTCCCACTCCTTGCAGATTCCAAACAAAAGCATATCCAAATACATGTATATTGGGGGGTCCACAGCACCCCTAAACCCCCTCATCTCCTTCACTTCCCAAGGTCTTCTCCCAGCACACTGGAGAGTCCACTTGTGTCCCCAAATCCCTCCTACACCCCCTGCAGCCCCCAACCCTCAGACCTCATTCTGACTCCCCTTAAATCCCCACAGGGGTCTCTTGACCCCCTTCCTATGGGATCCCACCCCTCCAGGCCTCCCCCATCCTCCCTGGACCCCCCCAGGCCCTGCCCACCACACAGGACCCCTCTGTGCCCTCTCTGCACCCCAAAATAGGTCTCCAACCCCTTCCAGGAACCCCCCAGGGCTCCAAAATCTGCCCCCTCTCAAGACCTCCCTCCTCCTCCCTGAACCCCACAGGGTGCCCCTGTCCCCCCGAAAACCCCTCCAGCCCTGTGGGAAACCCCCGATCCCAAGTCCTTATGGAGCTACACCCCCACCAAATCCCCTACAGGATCCCCCAGAACCCTCCTACATGGCACCCACCCCCTCAAAACCCCATTGGAGAGCTCCCCAATAACCCCATTCTGGAGCTCCTGAGTCCCCCAAAACCTCCCTATAAGGCACTCCCACCTTCCCCACCAGTAACTTCACTAAAGGGCTCCTCACTCCCTCCAAAACTACCCTACAGGGTGCCCCATTCCCCCCAAAAACCTCTATAGGACACCCCACTTTGCCCTAATAACCCCACTAAATGGTTCCCCACTCTCTCCTATTCACCTCACTAAAGGGTTCCCCCAAAACCAGCCCACTCCCCCCCCAAATCTCTCTATAGGGCATCCTCTTGCCCCCCCATTTACCCCAATAGAGGGCACCTCACTTCACCCCAAAAAACCCTATAGGACACCTCACTCCCCCACTCACCCCAATACAGGGTTCCTCACTTCCCCCAACCACCTCAATACAAGGCTCTTCACTCCTCCCCGAAACCTCTCTATAGGGCACCTTCTTGCCCTCTCCTTCACCCCAATACCAGGCTCCCCATTGCCCCCCAAAAAACCCTATGGGGCACCCCCTTGCCCTCTCTTAACCCCAATATAGGGTTCCTCACACCGCTCCATTCACCCTAGTACAGGGTTCCTCACTCACCCTCAAAAAACCCTCCCTATATGGTGCCTCCCCCAGTAACCTCACAGTGGCTCTTCACTCTCCCCCAAAACCTCCCAACCTCATTCATCCCAATACAGGACACCCCATTCCCCCTCAAAAAACTCTATAGGGCACACCACCCCCCACTCACCCCAATGCAGGGCTCCCCAATTCCCCTACCCCAAAAAAACCCTATAGGACACCACATTCACTCCATTCACCCCAATACAGGACACCTCATTCCCCCTCAAAAATCTCTCTATAGGGCACTCCCTCTCCCTTCCTTCCCCCCAATACAGGGCTTCTCATTCCCCCCACTCACTCCAATCCAATGCTCTTCACTCCCCTCCAAAACCTCTCTATAGGGCATCCCCTTTCCCTTCCTTCACTCCAACACAGATCACCCCACTCCCTCCCCAAAAAACCCTATAGGACACCCCGTTCCCCCATTCACCCCAAAACCGGGCTCCTCACTCCACTCCAACCACCCCAGTACAAGGCTCTTCACTCCCCCCAAAAACCCCCCTATAGGGCCCCCCCCGTCCCCCCCCTCCCCCCCAAACAGGGCCCCCTCCCCCCCCCCCCCCCCATTCACCTCAATACAAGGCTCCTCACTTCCCCCAAAAAACCCTATAGGACATCCCCCACTCCCCCCATTCACCCCAAATCAGGGCTCCTCACACCCCCCCATTCGCCCCAATAAGAGGCTTCCCACTCTCCCCCAAAACCCCCCTGTAGGGCACCCCCTTCACCCCAATACAGCGCTCCCCACTTCCTCCTCGGGGGTCTCCCCGCTCCCCCCCAAAGCCCTCCCCGGCGCCGCCCACCTCGATCCCCTCAGACCCTCATCCCTTCCCTCCCCTTTCCCCTCCCTCTCTCCCTCACCGCCCCCCCCGCCCCCCCCATCATATCGGGCGAGCCGCAGAGGCCCGGGCGGGCCGCGGCGGGGGCCCGGGGACCACCGGGACAAAACACAGGCGGGCGGATACTGAGCGCCAGCATCTTGCTGGGGTAGTCGAAGGCGACGACCTCGCCCTGAAGGCGCTGCTCCTGGCAGGTGCGGCAGGACACCTGGCTGCCCACGCTGAAGTACTCGCCCGGCGCCGCCATCTTGTCCGCCCGCAGCGCCCGCGGCTCCGCTCGCCTCGGCCCAGGCGCGGCGGGGGGCGGGGCCGCCTCGGCGGCGAGGGCGGGGATTGGTGCTCCACCCCGCCGATCTGCTCCGCCCCGCCTCGTGATTGGTCGAGCACCCGCGGGGTCCCGCCCCCCATCCCCCGCGCCTGGCGGGGTTTGGCCCGCCCGCGCCGCCGTCAGCGCGCGGCGCCGCGGGGGGCGCCGGGAGTTGTAGGCGGAAGAGGGGCTGTGAGAGCGGCGGGAGGGACGGTTTGGGGGGTTCCCCCGACGTGGCGATCCCCCCGCAGGTACCGCCCGACCGCACCGGGGTGAGCGGGGAGCGGCGAGGAGCGCGGCAGGACGTCTGAGAGTGTCCTGCGGGCAATGGGAGGTCGCGGATCTGGAGTGAGTGGGACCCCAGGGAGGCCTCGGGCCTGAGAGGCCAAGGGAGGCCCGAGGAGACCCCGAGTCTGATCCAGGGAGACCCCAGAGAGGCCTCGGGGAGATCTCGGGGTCTGAGCCAGGGAGAGCCCTGGGAGGGTCCAGGCCTGACACCACAGGGAAACCCCAAAGGGAGACCAGAGAGATCTGGCACCCAAAGAGACCCCAGGTCAGCTCCAGGGAAGTCTCAGGGGAAATCCCAGTCCTCCTCCAGAGAGACTCCCAAAGGGATCCCAGGGAAGCCCAGGATCTGCTTTAGAGAGACCCCAGGGAAACCCCAAAGAGTCCCCAGGTTGGCTCCAGGGAAGACCTCAGGGAGACCCCGGGCCTGCTCCAGAATGACCCTAGGGAACTTTCCAAGGGAAGACCCCAAGGAGTCCCCAGGGAGGTCAGGGCTCTTTGGAGCAACCTGGCTGCTCCAGCAATTCCCACAGGGATCCCCCAGGATCCTGCTCTGGCCCCTATCCCTGACTCCCAGCTCTGCTCTGCTGGGACCCCCCAAGCAGAAGTTTGGAAGTCCCTTGTGGGCAAACTTCAGGTGGTGAATGACTCCCTGGATCCTTGCTAAGGCATCCCTTGGGATCCAGCCACTTCCCAGGCCCTTCCCAAGACATCCCATCCCTCAGGACCCAGCCACCTCCCACCCCCAGATTCCTCAGTATCCAGCCACCTCCCAGCCCCTTCCCAAGGGATTCCCGAGGGATCCAGCCACCTCCCAGCCCCTTCCCAGGGGGATTCCTGAGGGATCTGTGCCCAGCTGACCTCTGTCCCCATGTGCCAGCCGGGTGCCATGGATGCCCTGCACGAGGCCGGGATCTGGGCAGCCCTGGCCCTGCAGGCTGGGCCACCCTGGCTGGAGCAGTTCTGGGTCTACCTGACATCCCACTTCGATCCCAAATCCATCTACACCTTCTGCTTCCCGCTGGCCCACGGGCTGGATGCCCGGGTGGGGCTTATGGTGCTCTGGATCGGGCTCGTGGCCGAGTGGCTCAACGTGGTCCTCAAATGGTGAGGGGGTGGCACTGGGGGTGGCACTGGGGGTGGCACTGGCATGGGGACACAGCTCAGGGAAACTCCTGGAGTTCTGGGCACGCACAGACTCCCTGCAGCATTCCACAGGGTCACCCAAGCTGCCCCAGGCATCTGCCAGGAATCCCTGGCAGAGGAAACCCCGGGAGGCATCAGGACTGGCAGGGATCCTGCTCTTCTGCTGTGGCTCCATCCCTGGTAATCCCAGGATGAGTGGCAGGGATCCTGCCCTCATGGGCCACCTGGGATGGGTGCAGGGATCCTGCCCTCCCACCATGGATATATCCCTGGAAATCCCAGGAAGAGTGGCAGGAATCCTGCCCTCCTGCTGTGGCTCCATCCCTGGTAATCCCGGGATGAATGGCAGCCCTCCTGCTGGGGCTTTGTCCCTGGAAATCCCAGAATGGTTGGCAGTGATTCTGCCCTCCCAAATCCCCAGATACCATGGGATGGGTGGCAGGGATTCTGCCCTTTCCAGTCCTCTGGGATGGGTGGCAGGGATCCTGCCCTCCTGCTGTGGCTCCATGCTGGGTTCCCCTGGGATGGGTGCAGGGATCCTGCCCTCATGGATCCCCCAGGATGGGTGCAGGAATCCTGCCATCCCACTCTGGCTTCATCCCTGGAAATCCCAGAATGGTTGGCAGTGATTCTGTCTTCCCAAATCCCCAATACCATGGAATGGGTGGCAGGGATCCTGCCTTTCCGGGTCTTCTGGGATGGGTAGCAGGGATTGTGCCCTCATGGATCCTCTGGGATGGGTGCAGGGATCCTGCCCTCCTGGATCCCCTGGGATGGGTGGGAAGGCTCCGTGTTTTCTGTCCCTCAAGGTTCCTGTTTGGGGAACGCCCGTACTGGTGGATCCATGAGTCTGGGTTGTTCTCCCAGGAGGAGCTGGAGAAGTTACCACTGCGCCAGTTCCCGGTCACCTGCGAAACGGGACCAGGTGAGTCACAGGTGAAGCCTCCATGTGTCCCGGACAACCCGGTGATCCCTGGGGAGGAGCCACAGGAGCCAGGAGGTTCCACCCCTGCAGGAATGCCGGGCTGGAAGTGGGAAAAGCCGTTCCTCAGCCAGGAAATATGAGGGAGCAGCAGGGAGCGGGTCCGACGCTGCCGGCGCTGGCACAGCCCTGCGGCACCAACAGCTCCGGGGCCAGGAAACCCACGGGAGAGTCTGGGAATGTCACTGCTCCACCTGGGCTCCCTGTAAACATGCCTGGAGTTTCGGGCACCGGCTCCATCCCCATCCCTGAGCCTCCAGGCCCAGCCAGGAGGGATCCCTGGGTGCAGGCAGGGTTAGGCTCGACATTCCCAGCTCTCATCCTGCTGGGACAAGCTCCCCCTGACCCTCCATGTGTTTCCCCCCACCCAGGGAGCCCCTCAGGCCACTGCATGATCCCCGGGGCGGCCCTGTGGCCACTTGTCACCGCACTGACAGCTGAGGTGGCCCGGAGAACCCGCAGGTGAGTCTGGGATGGGCAGTGCCTGGAAGCTTCCAGAGCACCTGTGGGAAGAGGGGATAGGATGTGGCATCCCTCCTTGGCAGGCAGCACCCATGGGGGATAGGCAGGATGAGTCCCGGGATGGGGAAACTGTTGCTTGGAAGTTTCCAGAGCACCTGTGGGAAGAGGGAGGTGGGCCGGATGAGTCCTAAGATGGGGAAAGCAATGCTTGGAAGCTTCCAGAGCACCTGTGGGAAGAGGAGATGGGATGTGGGACCCCTCCTTGGTGGCAGGGGAAGTCTGGGATGGGCAGTGCTTGGAAGCTTCCAGAGCACCTTTTGGAAGAGGTGGGTGGGATGTGGGACCCCTCCTCAGCAGGGGGTGAGTAGGATCCCTTCCCCTCCCAGCAGGGCAGCTCCAGGGGGACATATGCCCTGGCAGCTCGGGAAGAGGCTGTGAGACCCCCCCCCTAACATTTTTTTCTTGCCTTCTTCACCTCTGCTTCACCCATTCCTGCTGCTCGGTGGGATCAGTCCTGCCCTGCCTGGCCAGAGCAGGAGCCAGAGGCTGCCTCCCTCCATCACTGCCCCCGGTTCCCTTCCAGCCGGGTGCTGAGGCTGATCCCTTTCCTTGCCTACACCCTCTTCCTGGTGGCCATGGGGCTCTCCCGGATCTTTGTCCTGGCCCACTTCCCCCACCAGGTGCTCACTGGCATCCTGGCAGGTGAGGGGAGTGGGGGGCACACATATCCCAACCCCCCCATCCTGGCTCAGGGCGTTGGGGGCACCTTCCCCTTCCCTCGAGCCCCTTTCCCAGTCCGTCCCAGTCCCAAACCTGCCTGTCCCCTGTGCCAGGGTCGGCGCTGGGCTGGGGGCTGCAGCGCTGCCCCCCCCAACTTCCGTGTGTTCCGGTTCTTCGTGGCGGTGGCTGTGGTACTGATGCTGAGTGCACTGGCCCTGCACAGCCTGGCCACGGCTGCTGGCATCGACCTCGACTGGTGAGCGCCCAGGGAGGATGGGGGATATCCCCAGGGATCAGCGTTCCAGGGTGGAGGGGGGTATCCCCAGGGATGAGCCCCTCAGGGTGGCAGGGTGTATCCCCAGGGTTCAGCCTTCCAGGGTGGAAAGGGGTATCCCCAGGGATCAGCCCCTCTGGTTGAAGGGTGGTTATCCCCAGGGATCTGTTCCCAGGCTATTGTGGGGAACAGCCCCAGGGATCTACCTCCAGACCATTTTGGGATGGGACTAACTGCAGGGATCTGCCCCCT